CCGAATGAATAGAAACACCGCAATATTCGAGAACTTTTCAACAGTTGGTAGAAATGATACGCTCCAATCAGCCAATAACATGGATAATTGTCTCCAAAAGTTCCAATCATTATTCGTACCCCTGCAAAAGACGATATCCTGCAAGAATACTTGATTCCAAAGGTATCAAAATATTGGGTTTTCTTTAAATTAAAAAAATTTTTACCGATCAAAATAATATTTTATTGATTATATATTACAGAATACTCCAATCATAATACCAATAGCGGCAATTCACAAACTTCCTACAATCTGGGGATCAAATGCCGACAACTTCGTACCAGAAAGATGGTTGATTTCAGATTTAACTTCAAAAATTAATAACTATACATATATGCCATTTATAACGGGTTCTAGATCTTGTATAGGAAATAAACTGGCCCTTGTAGAATTTAAAATTCTGTTAGCAATATACATTAGAAATTTTAAGTTTAAAATGATTGAAGGGTTTGAAGTTAGAAAAAGACAAATGATCGCCACAAAACCTTATCCCGCCATTGAATTGCTTGTCTCTAAAGTTGAAATGTAGAAATTAAGAGATGATACTGTACTACTGAACATTTATCTATATCATAACTTTAAGAGCATGAAAAATAACTATCTAAGAATTTTACTGAATTTCATCCATTACAAATAGTCGACGAATTAATAGTTATTAGATCCGTGAATTCATTTCTCAACCCATTTTTTTTTCAAAATTCATGAATCACAAATCAAACATTCATCGCTTCTATTCCAACTGTTTAAGAGTTATAAATTATTTATTATCCCAGAATTACAATTGATCCACTGATCGTTCCTTATCCATCTCCACGACTTCACTAACATTGTTCTTACATTCCGTTAATATCCATCTAATGATATCCACATCTAACCCAAAGGTTTCACCTTCTCCGTGCCTTTCTAGCCATGAAAAGGCTTGTTGTGCATCTATATGTTCCAATCGTTTTATCGATTCTTCGATTTGGTTTTTTTCTCGGATATAACGTGAATTTACAAAAGGAATAGAAGTTTTCCACTTTGAGGTTGTCATTATTTTAAAAGATCGGTGAAACGCTAAAAGTGCTATTTGTGTAATAAACGTATTTGTGATTGTAGGTGAATAACTTTGAAAATTTGACAATTGTGGTAAAATTTCTTGAAAATAACAAGAAAGTAGCGTGTTTCCTATTTCCTTCCACGTATTATAATCATTCTTACGCATTTGATCATATTTTATATAACATTTTATGGAATCTGAATAGTATAAACCAAATTCAATAAATATTCATATAGCGATGACCACTTAAATTTAAATTATTCACCTGAAAAACGGCCCCCTTTAGCATAAATCATTCCTTTAAAACTCATGTGTCCAGGTTCATTAGATGACTAATGGATGTAATTGTCAAGATTATTTATTATAAGCATTAATATTTTTTCAAAAAAGTTCAGACACTTACCAATTTGTCGACACATTTTACCGCAAGCTCGATATCTCCCAATCTTGAAGCACTACGAGCCGCGATTTCCAACATATCACGCGTACTAGTTAATCTATTTGGATTTAATTCGTTATTTTCTTTATTGTTGCAACTTTCAACAAAGTCAATGTACTCGAGAGATAATCTTAATGCTTCTTTATAATTTTTATGAAAATAATAATATTCAATCGATTGCTTTAATCGATTTGGTCCAAGCTTTTGCGTAAGTAATTTATTTGTTGGTATTGATGTATGAAACCATCCTTCGTAATCGTTTTTTAGTATACAAGTTTGTTTGGTGGATATTTCATCAGTTTGGACATGACTTTTATTCGATGCATTACCGTCAAGTTTTTTCGATTCTTTTAAATTATCAATCTGTTCCTTGCTTTCAAATTGAAAATTAAATATTTCTAAGAGGTTAAAGTTATTATTATTAGTATGGCTATTTGAAAGATCACACGTATTTTTTTTTTCAACATTATTGTCTATTGACATGGTGTCGAGAATTATATTTAACGTTAATTAAAATTTTCGTATATATAAAAAAATATATAAGTTTTTATTGGTCAAAAAAATTTGATACATTATCACCGATTTCCTAATTTATATTTACGTAGCTAATTATAAATTATAATTAAACATACATTATTTATTTATATGGTTTCTGAGATATTCTCCTTTCGTTTTTCCCATGGCTTGGGCCGTGGTTTTGTTGTCGAAGTAGAGGGGGTGCCACGATTTATCTCATCGGGTATTTCTTTAATTCCTATTATTTTAGAAATAGATGAAATTGATAAGAATGGTTGATTTGTACAAATATTATAAAGGTTGTTAAAGACTGGATATTTATTATACCTGGTATTGGCTGATTGGAGCGTATCATTTCTACCAACTGTTGAAAAGTTCTCGAATATTGCGGTGTTTCTATTCATTCGG